GTCCTTTTTTGTTTTTGTTTTTGTAGTAGTAAACCAGTTTTTTGTTGAATATATGTATTGTTAATATTTTCTCCCACTCTGTAGCTTACTTTTCACTCTTTTAATGATGTCTTGATGAACATAGTTTGTAAGTTTAATGTAATAAAAAAAATGTCAATTTTTTCCCTTTGTGGTTGGTGTTTCTTTGGTGTGTCCTGTTTAGTAAACCACTTTCTACTCCAGAGACAATATATTCTCATTAGTTTTCTTTGAAAGCTTTCTTTTACCTTACATATTTAGATTTCCAATCTCTCTGGTATTGGTGCTTTTTTCTTTTTTCTTTTTGCATTATGTAAGATTGGGATGAAGATTTTTATGTGTTTTCCATAAGGGTATTCAGTCAACCAACAGCAATTATCGAAAGGTCCATTCTTTCTTCAGTGTACAACATTGTCACCTTCATTATAAACAGCATATGAAGGGGTTTATTCTAGACGAACCGTGCTCCGTTAGTGAATTTTCGTAGCCTTACATCAATACCACACTCTCTTAATTATGAGAGCTTTATAAGAAGTATTGATAACTAATAGTGTAAACTTTCAGCCTTATTTGTCTATTTCAAGGCTGCCTTGACTTTTCTTGGCCATTTACATATCCATATAAATTTTAGAATTAGCTTGTTAATTTACACACACACACGCAAACAAACATGCTGGGATTTTGATTGTGACTGTATTGAATCTGTAGATTAATTTTGAGGGAATTTACATCTTTACAGTATTAAATCTTATTATCCATTAACACATTATATCTTTACGCTTTTTTTGGCATCCACTTGGACGATCATGGCAATCATCACATTCCCTATTGGTATTCCTTTGGACCACCAAACATGTATCCTAATGTAGTCCATCTCAGTCCCCTTCAGCTTCTTAAGGTAGATCAGTTTTTTCTCATTTCTTGTTGTGAGATCATTCTTTATGTCCATCTTCCTCATCTGCTTGTCCCTGTCATTGCTTCTAAAAAATACTTTGTGGATTAAAGAAGTATTAGTGCTGTATCTCAGAGAGAGACACTTAAGCTAATGTGTCCTGAAATATGATGGCTGGGAGTAGCAAGTGAGGCTGAAAACTCTAAGAAATAAAGTAAAGCGTCCAAGTGAAATTAGGAAATATAATCCAATTATACCGTATCTATATGTGGACAAGTTCATTTCGGGTTTTTCCCCCTTTTAATTTTGTTAGTATTGGAAAACACTGCTGTGGATTCTTAGTGTGTAATTTTTTAAACTTAGGTTATATACGTGACAGCAGAAATGTGCAGTTTAGTGTTTTGTACCAGCAAAATGTGCTCATTAGCATAATTAGCATAAAAGAAACATTGTAAGCTTTCTAGTAATCCCCCTCATGTCTCCTTTCTGTCACTACTTCCTTCTGCCTGAAGAAAATTCTCTCATAACTTTTAATAGTATAGATTAGCTTTGCTTGTGTTTAAGCTTTTTAGAAATGAAATCATGCAATATATATCCTTTCATGTTTGACTTTCAGTCATTATTACATTGTAGGGTTTATCCATTTTGTTGTGCATAGTTCATTTTAATTATCTCATAGTATCCCAGTATATGACTGTATTACAATTTTTATCTCCCAGATTGGGGGAATCTGGTTCTTGGGGGAGATTTGTGTCTTTCCCTCCCCAGCCCTTCTCTGTGGCCTCCAAACTGCACTTTGTATTTATGGTGGGTGTTGAATAGGAGACCATTTTTTTGCATCTCCCCAAACGGTGGCAGATCTGTGATTTGTTTTGGTACAGGATGGGAGCCTGAGATGGCTTCCTGCCCACCCCCCAGGGATAGACAGCTTTTGCTTCTTCCCTTCTCCCAAAAGTACCTGGGGTCAGAAAGGAGGATTTTCTGTCTCTTCCTGGAGGCAGATAAGGTTTGCTTTTTCTCTTCCCCCATTGTCCCTGGCAGGGTGTTTTTCTCTTTCCTAGTAGTTGAAGGATTCATGGATGTATACAGTGTTTCATGCCTGTCAACTGTCTAAAGCCATTTGCTTCCTGCATATCTGAGCCACTGAGGGGGGCGATGCCTGATTTGCCCCCAGTCTTTCTCCTAAGCACCCAATTGAGATCTGTGGAGAAGATCTTACAACTGAGTGCAAACTCAGCGTGCATCTAGTTATTCTAAACTGATGCTGTAGTTCACATTGGCCTTTGGGAATTAATTACCATTTTATCTGATTTCTTTTCTTACCTGCTTTTGTGGCACTTACCTCTTTCTCCCAGGCCTTGTCAAAGGTGAAACTATTAGTGTGTTCTCTCTCTTCAGAGAGGGGCCTGTTAACGCTTTGGAATTTTCTTGACTGCTTTCCAACCTGACAATTTAATGTTATCTTCCTCCAGAGAGAATATATACTTTTGCTTTTAGAAAGTAGTAGAGTAAGGAAGATCAACTGAATCTAGTCACTGAATTTATTTGAAGCTGAGCCTCAGTCTTTGTAAGGGATGGTCTAATTCTATTTCATTCTTAGTCTTAAGATGTAGACCCAGGTAGTTCTCACTGAAAAGACGCCAATATTAGATCACTTTTTCCTTAGGCAGCATCTGAACTCCAATTTTTTTCCCTCAGGCCCTATGAGATTATTGAAACTCTCCATAACTTTTCAGTATTTTAGCTACTACTTTTTTTTTTAAAGATTTTATTTATTTATTTATTTGAGAGAGAGAGAATGAGAGAGAGAGAGACCACATGAGAGGGGGAAGGGTCAGAGGGAGAAGCAGACTCCCTGCTGAGCAGGGAGCCTGATGCGGGACTCGATCCTGAGACTCCAGGATCATGACCTGAGCCGAAAGCAGTCGCTTAACCAACTGAGCCACCCAGGTTCCCACTACTTTTTTTTTTTTTTAAAGATTTTATTTATTTGACAGAGAGAGAGACAGCGAGAGGGAACACAAGCAGGGGGAGTGGGAGAGGGAGAAGCAGGCTTCCCATAGAGCAGGGAGCCTGACGCGGGGCTCGATTCCCGGACTGTGGGATCATGACCTGAGCCGAAGGCAGACGCGTAACGTCTGAGCCACCCAGGCACCCCTTAGCTACTACTTTTATAGGCAGGTCTTATTGGGAAAAAAGTAGCATTCTCTGCCTCCCACCCCTCACCCCGCCACTACCACCAAAGGAAAAATACCTGGCTAGACCCTTTGGATTTCTCTTGGGACTTTTTTTTAGTTTGAGATTTTACATATTTTTATGCAGCCTTTCTAGTTGTCCTTAGTAGGAAAACTGGAGTTTTGTGTGTACATGCATGGTATGTATGCAAGTGTATATACGTGTGTGTGTGTGTGTGTGTGTGTGTATGTATGTGCACATTTGTCTGCCATTGCTGGAAGCCAAGGGCTTGTAAGTAGCAGTCTTTTAAATATATAGAATCATTCTGAGGATTCAGAGCACACTTGGGTAAACTTTTTATCTGCTCTCTAACTCAGACTTCCTCTTGACATTTTTATGTAGAATTTTAATCTACATAATTGTAGATTATGGGATGGACAACTCCCCCAGATTGTATGATGTGATACTTTTGTCATCTGCCCTCTACTAACTGATGCCTCACGAGGCGTATCTGTTCATAGTGCAGGTAAGCAGACAGATGGTCCCAGATCTCTGTCATCTTGTACAGCATCTTTAGCGTGAGGCCCGTGTGCACATCCTGAGTCTCTTTCCCAACCCCTGGCCTCTCCGCTAACTTACCGTGACTTTAGACAGGACAGACATAGGCAGATGAAAGAGAATAATTGTGAGCAATGCCATTTATTTTATACTTCATTCTGCCCTGTTTGAATAAGCAATGGCCTGTGCTTATTTCACATGTTTACTTAGTTTGTTAGGAAGCTTAAAATATAGTTGCTGTCTCATAAGACAGCAGAGACGGGGGCTGACTAAGAGGATGTAGGAACTGGAGAGAGTACAGTAGATGAGAGGACATAACTTGGAGGGCATGAATTTAGCACAGAAAAGATGGCCTGCAAACAACATTTCAGAGGATTAAGCCGTTATCTTGGTCTGAGATAATCAGGTAAGACTGGATGGAAAAACCTAAATGTAGAATCAAAACAGACATCATGGAGCCCAAACATTAGGATAGGCAAAACATGTCATTTTACTCTCTTTAGGATTTTAAACAGGCATGAGTAAATGAAAACATTATCAAGTTAGGCAGAAGAAAGCAGAAATAAACATTTCAGGATGTGGTACAATTAGGTTCACGAAAAATCACAACCAGAGAACTTTTAGTACTTTCATTTGTAGACCAGGGACTGCTGACATGTGTCTTGATTTTAATGCCCATATTTATAGTAGGGTGTTGATGACTGGCAGATAGGACCAGCTTCTCAGAGTGAGAGCAGAGCCCTACTTTATTTACTTAAAATTGCTCTATTAGCCCTCTACTAAGTGATGTGCAGTCTCTAAATTTTTGAAGCACTTAGGTAATTAGCAATCAGCTAACTGTAAAATGATTTATCTCTTAAGTATGGAGATGGAAGCAAATAGAAATATAGACTTGGCCTTGTCATTTTATACCTTTTAACCTAGAAGTTTTCTTCTGGCTTTATCTCCAACTCCTAAGGTTGAAAATAGAACTACTTTTCTGCTTCCTGTTGCTTTGTGGTTTCTCTGGATTCCTTATTTGTAACTTGGTAACTTTTAGATATAATTTGCCTATTTCTTGCAACAGTTGAATGAATCAAATATGTTTTTTTAGAATGAAAACTGAAAGCCTAATATTTGATAAAGTATTTGCTGGTACTGTACAACAACATAATGATTATTTGATATTTCTTTCCTATTTGAGTATAGGCTTACATTTTCTGGTTTAGCATTATTTTTACAGATACTATTATTTGTAAATTATTAAAACTATTTCAGCTGAAATGTTTGTGTGCTTCTAGCTTTGTGTACTGAACAACATTTCACAAGGCAGATTTGGTAAAGCTGTTTGGTTGAAACACATTGTTGTTAACTTTAGGTGCTGACTGTTCTGATGCCGAATTTCCAATTGCCTTGATTAAAGTAGAAACATTCTATGGCTTGGATGACTTACATTTCAAATTGGTTTGAGCAAGATGATTGGTATGAAGGACTACAAAGAGTAAGATATATTTATATTGTGATTATGATTTTCTATGGGTTCCTTCTTCTGCTTTACTACTGCAGCTGTATTTCTTTGTCATTTATGTTGCAGACATTTTTGCACTGCAATATTTTGAGGGTAGATAAGATACTTGATAGATTCCAAAGCAGAGGTATAAGAAGATAATATATAAATATAGTCATAATCCTACATTGAAGAAAGGGTATTTTTTTTCCTGTCTTTGTTTCATGAATTCTTAATGTTTTCAGATTGTCTTCAGGCTTTAAATATAAAATAGAATTCTTGTTAATGAGATTAATGTATAAAAACAACAGTATCTTAATAGTCATTTTACATAAAAACATTTAATGAAGTAGAAGATGTGCATGATACTATATATTATATTAATATTGTAAAAGAAAATGCAAAAATTTTCTGAAGAAGATTGCCATGTTCTATCTGATGAATTTTTAGGCAATTAGTTATGTTTCAAAAGATTTGCATTGTTACCATGGCAACTTTTGTATAGTATTTTGAAAATAGCTATTCTGATCTATTATTGCAATAGTAGAAAACTGCTATTTAGAAATGCATCTAATCAAAATGGATTTAGTGTAAAATAATACTATGTCTTTTTATTATTTTCACGTTTTTAATGGAAGATTTCTCAATCATTTAAATGAAGGCACTTTGTGGATTTTTCTTTTCTTACATGGCCTGGATTTTTCTTTTTATTAATGAGTGGAACAAAAGAGCCAGAGTATCTTCCTGCAGTTTCACCAGCTTTCTTCCCTGTCATTGTTGGAAGGCAAAGGATACCAAAGATAGGAAGCATTGCATTTCTCTCCCGCCTTACTTCCGCAGGGTCCCTCCTCCACCCGTCCATGAAAGACATTTTCTCAGTATTTTACTTCCTTTTAGTTATCTTTTGAATTGTAATTCCTCAGCAGTTTAAAGCCTCCTGCCTTTTGGGCTTTTCCTAAGATTTTTTTTTTTTCATCTCTAAAACAAGCTGGTAAACATCTCTGCAGTCAGTTAATAGCAAACTCTGGAGAGTAATCCTCATGTTGTGGATCCTAAAGCATTCTTCAAGAAAACAGGTTGAGAATCAGTGGGTAGCCTGTCATTCTGAGTTTCAGTCTTATCCCTAAATGATGGAAATATTTCAGCTTATCAGTTTAATAAGTCCCACTGGACACACACAGGCTATGTTGCCAGCATCCTTTGTTTGTATTGTGTGCATGCATTTTCAGTGTAATAATTAGTGCTTTTTTGATGTTGGAACCAAAGGGTGTTTTTTTCCAAGTGTAGACCATGTATTTCTCAATGGGAGAGCAGAGGGATGGTAGTCTAACTTGTTAAAATGCTTTTTACTAAAATTGGGTGTTCCTTTAGTGACTTCCAGGGTAGTTCACAGAGATGATGAGGATTCAAAATCTTTTTCTCCATTGTAACCCCAGCCTGCCCTTTAGTACTACCATTGGCCTTTATAAATGAATTCCTGGCTCTGAGACCTATTACAAAAGTAGCTGCTATTATATATAGATACAGTTCAACCCTGAAATTACCATATTGTCCTCTTCCTGAGTTTGAGCTGCTTCTGGCTCAAGTTTTGGTCAGTTCTTATGTAGATTTAGATGAGAATGAAAGATACTATTCTAAGTAATGAAAATTGGCACATGAATATGGACTTTAATTTCTTCTAAAAGTCCAGCTTAGGGCGCCTGGGTGGCTCAGTTGGTTAAGCGACTGCCTTCGGCTCAGGTCATGATCCTGGAGTCCTGGGATCGAGTCCCGCATCGGGCTCCCTGCTCGGCAGGGAGTCTGCTTCTCCCTCTGACCCTCTTCCCTTTCATGCTCTCTATCTCTCATTCTCTCTCTCTCAAATAAATAAATAAAATCTTTAAAAAAAAAAATAAAAGTCCAGCTTATTATTTTTCAGATGATGTGTATGTGCATATATATCCTATATAATCAGCATCCAGCATAACAAATTTTTCAATAGAATTTTTTTCTCCTAATTTATTTAAAAGCAAAATTATAACATTGAAGTATGGGGTTTAGAATGTACATAGATACAGCATACTTGATAATAGTACAAAGGACTGTATGGGGTGAATGAAAGTATGGTTGTGAGGTTATTACATTTTACATGAAGTAGAACAGTAACACGGAGTACAACAGATGTTGGCAAGGATGTGGAAAAAGGGGAACCCTCTTACACTGTTGGTGGGAATAGAGCAATTTTTTTTAAATGTTCACAGGAAAAGATAAGTTGGATTTTTTAAGTTAAAATTATAATTTAGAAATGTACTGTTTGAAAAATTACAAGTGTGAGTTTGATCTTTAGTACAAAATTACAGAATTAATTTTGATATAATTAATATTTATGGCATATGTATATATTTCTACAGATACACAGACATATATATGAACTTGATTTTAGCTTAGTTTTACAATTTTATTTTTGGCAGTGTTGTAACGCTAGCTATATTTTAAAGTTCATTGTGATTATTTCATATCAACATACTCTTGCATATTCAAAAGTGAACTTTAATATTATAAAACTCTAATGTAAATATACTCATCACTTTTTTATTTCATATACTTAATGTATAGAGCATCTTTACTGTAGTTGTAAAATAGGTGTTATATTTCATATGAGATTGAAACAAAAAATTGAATTTAGGTTAAGAAAACACTATCTTTGTACATAGGCTGTTGTCAGCCTACTGACACTGTCACTTACATGTGGGGTGACACAGTGCTCAGACTTTCTTCCCAAAGCCTTTATAACTCTCCATTATTCAGTGTACCGCAGGGGTTAGTACTTCATCTTTAAAGTGTGCATATTGTTTCTGGGCCAGAAAGATTATATTTTCCGAAGCAACAAATCTTTTAGAATGGACATGGAAATTCTTAAGTCATTCACCTAAAAATGAAACCTATTCTAAAGTAAGGCTACAAAAAAGTACATAATATTTATCTGAAACCAATAATTAAGTTACATTCAGTTGGCATATATTTATTTACCTAAATATGTGACATATCTTTTTAGGATTTATGTTGAAAAAAGAGGCATATATTTTGGAATGGACCTGCAGTGGAACATTTTCCATGTTCAGTAATGCAGAATCATTATTGTGTAACCATTCATGCTGAGTACAAAGATAACAAAAGCTTCTGGATGTTTCTTTTTATCTCCTTAATAAAAGCTACATCATATTACATATATTTTTAATAATACTTTTGAAAAATAATGTGGAAGTTTCAAATGCTGCCCGTTTATTTTTTTATTTATTTTTATTGTTTTAAGATTTTATTTATTTTTGCGAGAGAGAGAGAGAGAGAGCGAGCATGAGCAGGGGGGAGGGGCAGAGGGAGAAGCCGACTCCCTGCTGAGCAGGGAGCCTGATTCGGACTCGATCCCAGGACCCTGGGATCATGACCTGAGCCAAAGGCAGACACTTAACCGACTGAGCCCAGGCTCCCTAATACTGCCTGCTTAAATGCATAAATAAGATTTATAAATGCAATAGTATTCATGTATTTAATGATGTATAATTTTTTCAAATTTCATTTAAAGTCATGGATTTTTACAATAAGTTGCCATTTTGTTTTATCCTGCTTATTATTTTAATGGCTAGTTTGGACAAGTTATTCAATTCTGAATTTAAAAAGGAATTAAGTTGTTAGATTTTAAGAGTTGTGAAAGCTGCTTAGAAACAAGATCATACCAAATTGTATGACAGTATTGAAATTTTTATATTCCCTAAATTTGGAAATTAAAAAGTAGTAAATTAAAAAAGTAGTAAATCAAAATATACTGATAATTAAAGTAAAAATACATTGACAAAATGAATTTTGAAGTAACTTACTTATTTTTAATAAATAGCCGACGGACTTTGAGTTTCTAGTCTGGCAGGTAAGGAGCTTAGAAGTCTTCACTTGGGGTGTGCCTGGTTGGCTCAGTCTTAAGCGTCTGCCTTCGGCTCAGGTCATGATGCCAGGGCCCTGGGATCGAGCCCCACGTCGGGCTCCCTGCTCAACGGGGAGCCTGCTTTTCCCTCTCCTTCTCTCCCCTGCTTATGTTCCCTCTCTCACTGTCTCTCTCTGTCAAATAAAGAAATAAAATCGTAAAAAAAAAAAAGTCTTCAGCCTAAAATGATAAAAAGCTGGACAAACTGAAAAATCAACCACTCTTCTTAGATCTCTAAGAGAAGTGAGGTCACAAGGCAGATTGCTCCTTCCACAGTTGGAGAGACCGACAAGCAGTTACAGAAATTCACAACCTGCTGGAGCAGAGACCTACCAGCTAAAACCTCTGTGGGAACCAGAGCCAGAATAGGAAAACCTGAACTATAATTGATGAATTGCTGGAGGCTCATGTCCCAGGTCTGAGAGTTAAAAACTCCGGGAAGACCCCCAAGCTTGTGTGCTTAACCTCCAGGATCTCTACCAGGTCTTCCCAGGGATCTTCCCTGAAGATCAGGGAAAATCCCTTCGTGCTTCTGGCAGGGGGAGAAGAAAAGGAACCATTTTGAAATATATCATGACATTTTTTTCTTAGCAAGGCTGTTCTCAGGAGAAATTGTTTTACCAGAGCCTAACATGCTGGTTATTTCAGAGCCTAACCTACGTGAGGGAGGAAAATAACCAACTCCAGCTCACTGTACACTGTACCCATCATGTCCCTCCTAAGGGATAAACCCCCACCCTCCCCAAGAATCAACTGGTAAAATTTGCATTCCACAGGCGTAGTAGGCTCACCAAAAGACAGAGACCTAATCAGTGGACTTACAGAACACTTCCTCTCTTCCCACAACTTACCATTATAATACTGAAGGTCAGTTTACTACAGTTCCTTTTACCCAGTACTCATGTTTTCCTGTCAAGGAAAGATTACAGGGCATACTAAAAGGCAAAAAACCCTGCAGTTTAAAGAGAATAAAAAACCATCAGAACAAGAGTCAGGTATAGCAGGAATGTTAGAATTATCAAACCACGAATTTAAAGAA